TAAGTAAGGGAGAATGTACATAAGTTAAAAGAAAAACATGGTGGAAGACTTTAATAGTCCTTGTGAGATGTATATTGGCAGATTGAAAATTTAAAATCAATATATTAGCAACATGTTTAATCAGATTGTTTATAAAAATAAAAACAATCTGAATGCATCTTTGTACTGGTCAATTATTCACAGCTTCTAAAACTGGCTTTAGTTTGTACTTCCTCTAAAATTGTACACTATGAAACAGTAAAGCAGCTACTCAGAGACTGACAACACAGAATGATGAGGGTGCTGATCCAGAGCTGAGTCATCTATTATTTATTCATTTAGTATCTGCTCATATTGTCCTGATTTGATATCTATATTTTGATATACAAGATGCAAATGCACATTCAGCATAAAGTAGAGCTATGTTAAATTTTCTAAAGCAACCCCAATCTAGATGTGTTTGACAGCTTTTTTAACTCTTAGCTGTTCTCCTGAGTGTCAGTCAGAACTGTTGTGGCAGGAAGGTTTGGATAACACAGCATGAAACAAAGACTCCAGTTTGAACTTAGGTAATAAGATCAGACATGCTTTAAATATAATGTCACACCAGTAAAATGTGGCTGAAACAGAGCAAAGCATCTTTAATTCACTGTGTCGCTTTGATTCACTTGCTAACCCTCAGTGTCAGTGTGGCTGTAACTGAAACGCCATCTACAGGAGTTTATTCAATTGTAGTGTTTTAAGAATAGGTTTAAGTGTTTTATCTTAGTACAAATTGGCTACTGTGACACTTGGCAGAGCACAAATGATTCAGTAAATAAAGGATAACAGATACCACAATTCAGGCTTAATATAGCCAATACTGATCAATTAAAAGAGTATTGATCAACTCAGAGGCTGTGAATATCCCTACTTGCTGCTAGTATGAGAGCTAGGTCTCAACAGTTTAGATATAGAACACTTAATCATTGTAATTTAAAAAGCACAAGGGACCGCTCCTAAACAAACAGCAAATGCAGTTTTTGGACCAGTTTAACAGGTTCATGTCTTTCTAAACAACCTCTGAATAACTGCCTTGTGAGCTGAAGTTCTGATTTCCTGTTGTGTGTGTGAGTGAGTGTGGTCTTTCTTATGGACTCTTATGTGTTGTTCCTTTGTGTTTGTACATGCAAATATTATCTTACCATTGGAATCAGAGAGGTTGGCTAGTGTTTGGACGACAAAGAAATGAGGTAAGACCCCTGGCTGAAACTTGCTTAGTATCTCCTCCATGATGTCGTTGATGTGCTTGTTACCCACAGCAACCAAGATATTACTGGCTGCCTGCTGCCAGTCAGGGATGACCTCCTGAGAAAACAGAAAGGAATATCATCTATCATCGGCTCTCTGAGGAAACCGAAAAATAAATAATTAACATGGCATATTTTACCTTTGATCGTGTCATCTCATCTGAGGCCAGAGAGATGATGCTTTTTATCCTGGGGGAACTTATTTCCTCTATACTGCAGCCAGCAATCAGCTCAATAGTCTGAAGAATCACAACTCTGTGGCTCACTACCAGCTACAGGAGGAAGAGAAGGAGAAAAAGAAGAAAAGAGATGACCAGGAAGACAAGAGTAACACATACATACAGTATAAAGAGCATATTTAAAATACAACATAAAGACAAAATGGAATACTAATTAAGTGCATGGCATATATTCATTTCCATCTAAAAGCATAAAATATAGTGTACATATCATGTTCAATTTTTGCATTTGGCTTTTGCACAAGTATATACAAAGTAAAATATGACAGAGTATATTACACCATACCAATAAAAAAGGAAACTCATGTACTATGTCACTGATGTTTCCCAAGACATTTCCTCAGAGTGATGATGCCATCATCTGATAATCACATGTGTGAGAGCTGTGACAATATGATAAACACCATTCACAGACACACGCTGATTCAAAACTGGTGAAATTTCTGAGAACAAAATGTGCTACAAATAAAAAACAGAAACAGGCAAAGAACAAACAAACATCAAGCTTGCTTTTCTGTTTGGTAGGTAGACTGATTTTTTCTATGCTATATGCCCATGCAGGCAAAATGTTAGCAGCATAGATTAAGGTTGGGAATTTTTGTATTATAATATTAATATAATACAATATAATATAAAGTAAATTGCACTGTACACAGATTATAAACCGATGTGTCTGTATTTTGGCAAATCCAGTGAATTTAATACCTGACAGGTCAAATGAACTTCATCACTACAGATGAAACATTGACACATACAACTACTATTCTTATTGCAATGTTTACATCTTGTGAATGTGTGAAATCGCTAGATTGAATGTTGATTTACACGCCATTACTGTCTGCAACAGGCCAGCAAACCACATGCTAGGGGCACTATGGCCTTTTAAGTGTGACCGGGTTTAACGGATTAGCAGCAGACTATTGTTAGCTGGGGTTACTCGACAGACATTTCCATCACATAAGTACATAGTTTGCTGAAATCCTGCCTAATGTAGAAGGGTCTAAAAAGAATTTAAAAGCACTTTAAATTAAAGCAAACTTTAAATTGCAACTTCCCCTCTAAATGTGTAAAGTATGATCACACGGAGCACTCACAGCAATTAATTGATATATGTAACTGTGAAGTGTTTTGTGCCAGTTTTAAAACCTGAATGCAAGCATGCACTTATGGTCATGCTTATCTAGCTACAAAACCTATTTGCTTTCTACTTGGTAATGTGCAGTAGGGATACTGATAGCAGCAGCAAGTAACAGTTCCAGGTTACCCAGGTATATTTTAATAGATAGCTGCGGTTTTACCTTTGGGTGTTTCAGGAGGTAGTCCTGACACATTGCTAGCACTCGGTCTGGCTGCTGTTTTCCCAGGGTTAACATAGACTTTCTGACCTGCTCCTGGACCTCTGAGTCTTTATCATTGGCTGCATCTAGTAGAGCCAGGGTCACCTCTAGAGGGAAAACACAATATAAAAGACATATCTGAAGAGGAAGCTTAAAACGTAGGGAGAAATGGAGCTAACACAAATTGCTAGACAAAATTAGCAACACCTTTGCAGTAAAACTATTGGCTAACTAAAAAAAGGAAATATGCATGGCTTAGCTTTCAAGAACAAATGAAATACTGTAACTGAATAGAGGCTGACACAAAGACAAACTGGAAGAGAAGAGCTTACGTTCCACATCTGTCTCATCCATGGTGGACAGCTAGAGTGCTGGCTTCCAGCCAGCAGCTGAGGATCAAGCTTCCCTCCTGGGGGACAGATGGGCAGGGGCTACCTGGAGCCGAAGAGCAAAGTATGATACGTGGATATACAGTGAATATTAATGAAGCGTTCCGCACAATGCCTGGTCTTATATTCAATTAAAATATTTTCTGGTTTGTGTCAGCATTCAGACATAGTAGACAAGTTGGCAGACATTTATTTGCACTGAAAAAAAGCATGCAGCAGTATTTTTCTCTCTTAAACTGTGAATCTTCCCAGGCTAGGAGCAAATGATGCTACACAAGAACAGAGAATATATTTGTCCAGAATAACTGATTTGCTTGTACCACCATAAGGTTGACAAACATTGTCTCATATTGCTCCTCTCATTCACATGACTGACACCAAGACTGACAGCAGACAGACAGGTGATGGTGGGTTACATTACGGCTGTGTGACAGATTCACTAACACAATCATTAAGACATTATTGTTCTCAACCAAAAGCTATAGTAGTCTATTTTGATTAAATTAATCTTCTTTCAAATCTGTCTCTCCAGCTGTCTACAGTTAATCCACCGTTCAAGCTACTACTTTAGCTTTTAACACAACCACCAACTAAAACGGTTACGAAGCAGCTAACTCTAATATAATGTTTAACGTTAACAAAGCTATAACAAGATGATATTAGGGACAAGCACACTTTGCTATGTTAAGCTGAGTAAAACGCTCAGCGTCGTGTCTTTTGTAGCTGGTGTTATAATTCAATAATTACCTTCAACCTGTCCGGGTGGTGATGCTGCTGCAGCGAGCTGTGAGATAACAGTTACATTAGCATGCTAACCTAGCAGCTGCTGCTACGGAAGAGCCGCTAGCGTCCTCACATCACAGACTGAGGGAAAACCACAGACTCTGCTAATAAAGCTAACTTACCAACTCCCAGTGAGTGTCCGCTAAACGACAACCTCTCACGACAACGCTGCTTCTTATCTCAGTTTAGACAAACGGCTTCCCTGTCAGTGACACAGTCAGGGCAGGAGCTGTGTGTCCGACTGCAGGTGTAAACACGCCTGGTCATGTGCTTGTAGTCAGCAGGAACGTATCAGGCAGGGGGCGTACCCAGAGAGTGTCACAGCACCGAAGCACATAGAGCTGCTACCACTGACACTAGATTTCATGTCTGCTGTAGCATTGCTAACGACTGTTTTATGGAGACTGTTATGCAAAACTCAACTTTATAATCAAATGAATAGTTATTGTTTTGTGTTTGTGTATGTCTCATGTTTGTTCCAGGTTTCACTCTAAAAGTAGAAGTATCACAATATAAAAATCCTCTGTTATAGCCAAAAGTGTTGCATTGAAATCTTGCACTAAAGTAAAAGCACAGAAGTAAGGTGTGGGCCTGCCTACTTTCAGAATCAAAAATTAAAGTAGGTCACATGTAATGCAGGGCCCCTAAGAGTACATCGTTATTGCATAGGACTGCTGGAACCACTTTCTTGCTGTAATTGATTGATTGAAAAATCCTCCTGCAGCACTCCAATGGACTGCTTGACCACTTATCTTTTGGAAAAGGACATCTGGAATAAAATCCATTCAAAAACACCTTATTCACATTTTATGACTACAGATTTGATGTCTGTAGAGCGCTTTAATAATGATTTATCAGCATCTATAACCTTTGCTAATGGCTCATTAAAAATTGAGAACCCCTTCATAATGTCATACTAACATTTGAAATTGCACACCAACCTTTAACAACCTATAACTGCCTATTACTGAAAAGAAACACATGTTATGGCCAAAATGTTTTATTTAAACAGTGCACAGTGATACAAGATACTTTTTATCCAAACAACTTGCCGCATAATTTCCTGTATTGTTTTCTCTACATTTGCACTATTTCAAGTTTTGCATGCAGATCATCAACTAGTCTATGCATATGTTGATAAATAGCTGTACCATAAAAAGTCTGCAGTTGGAAATGTTACTGAGCAGTTATAAATGGATTTGTGTTCCAGATGTCCTGCAGCTCTTTTCCAGGGGACAGTCAAACAGTCCATTGTAAAGGTCCCACTAATGAATTAAAGAGCTTAAGCAGACAAGCATGGTGTCCTGTCCGAGGAGAATTGAGTTGAGCTGTTTTTCTCAAGTTCGACCTATAACTGATCCATAAATACTGATCTAAGAAGCATTAGTAAATTATTGATCAACTGTTAATAAAGCTATTAATTACAGTTTTACAGCTCATAAGCCCCCTATAAATGGTGCCTTATCAGAAAGTGGTACCAGATTGTTAATAGTAATGCAATGATATGGAGGCAACATTTTAGTGCTGCAGGTTTAGGTGGATCTCATTTTAATAACTTTGTTTACTTTATTGTGTTTAATCTGTAGAAACACTTCCTATTTCATAATCTGTTTATACAAAGATTGTAATCAGCAAAGTAATAGAAACAATTGTAGTGGAGTTAAAAATACACTATTTTCCTCTGAACTATAGTGAAGTAGAAGTATATAAACAAGTTTATTTAAATGGAAATACTCAAGTAAAGTACAACTCCTAATTGTATTTAAGTGCTGTCTTATATAGTCATGTTTTTCAATGGGCATTTCAGTCATATTCAAACAGCACCTTCAGAAACCTGATTTCCACATCCTGTATCAGTCTTTAATGAGAGTCTAAATCAGCCATGACTCAGCCATCCCTTCAAAACAAACCCTCTGCTCACTCCTGGCACTCCCGTCAGTGCACGTCAAACATCAGCAAGAGATGAGTGAAACAAAGCTATTCACAGAGGATTTGGTAACACAGTGATCCCAAATCAAAAGTTCTTTGTATGATATTTGGAGCCAGTTACAGCATAGCAGGGTATTTAGATTTGAAGTTCAGTGTAAAAATTCAGTGTGAATTATCCAACTATAACTGTCCTGGTCCATTGTCACCATTGGCAGTTTGTCTTAGTGTTTAAATGTGAATTAATCAGGCTAATTGCATAATCTGAGAAAAACTGACAACCGTTTGTGGACAGCCTTTCCAAAATATTTGATATGAGACAAAACATGATTTAGTTACTGGGTTTATTGACTCACGTGATAAATGTAATTACAACAGTATATTAAGGCATACATCTCTGCATATGTAGGCAATTCTAATTGTTTTGACAACCAAAAATGTTTCACCATTGTGCCTCATCTGTCCACCTACATTTCACATCATATGTTTTAAAAACATGTCACACAGATTCAACCAAACACGTCATCTCCAACAGTCTAGCTGTCCTTTAAAGTCAGGATACACTGTCGGATATAATACTGTAGGAGAATTATAAGGCCAGAGACGTATGATCTGATATATTGGGTTTCGGTAGACCGTCCACCAAACAAAGCAAGGAAACATTGTTCTCTGATCCAGCCATCACTTTTTTCACCTCTTCTCTCAGACGCACTTTAGGAGGAGCTGCAGGGGGGCGGCACTAGTGATGTGAAAGTAAAGTAAAAGATAACATCAGTGGTGGTAAATTAAAACCTTACACTTTGACTAATAAAAATTTAATATGTAAATATGAGGAAAAACACAACTAACAACAGAGGGACTAAATCCTACCTAGGCGGTATACTATCAGCAATCTCTATGTCACAAAACACAAATAATTGGTCAACACAATCTTGATCTGAAAAAGCTACTCACCATTGACGACAACAGAGACAGGGAGCTTCTGATTGATGGTCCTTCCTCTGATGTAGGCCTGACACTCATATAGCCCAGCATCCTCTCTCCTCACTTTTTCAATACGGAGTGTGTTATCAGTCAGCTGACGCACACGTTCTCCCTCTGAAGTGAGAGATAGTCGCAAAAGCAAGTGCACAGACAGGGAGCAAAAGACAAACACAAAAAGATTTATTTCTCTAAAGTCATATTTCTTGATGAAGCCCACTGTTCAGACAGTAGTAGCTCTGCAGAGCTCCATCTGCTGCATCACATAGACAGTACAGTATCTAGTGAAAGAAACACTGTGTGCACCTTTATTACTCTTTTTAACATGTAAACATAGAATACAGATTACACCTGACACATATGTTTACATGCAATGTGCATCTGACTCAATACAAGTCATGTCGACCATTATAGACCTGTGAAATCTCTGAGACCTCCTTCTGGCTGGAGTACAACAGAAAGAGACAAACAACTTCCAAAAAAGGCTAATTTGACAAGATTTCCTGAAAGGTCTTAATAGTCTCCGAATAATTCCCATCACACCATTTGAGTTTTGATAGTTTCAAACCGGGTCACATTGATCTTAACCTCAATGTCCCTGCCAAGACGCCTGCCTGAATGTCTGTGTCCATCTAATATTAACATTTGAACCATGTGTCTCTGATGTTTTCATTTGACCAAGTCTAAGAGTCGCCAGAAAACTCCACAGGATGCTGTCATTCACACATTAATCACACTTTGTCCTCACTACTCCCATAAGGCCCTGGGTGTTGGTCCTACCATCAGAAGGGATGTTTTGGTTGCCTCTAAGCCAGTGAACATCCACCTCTGGCTTGCCAGTCACCAGGCATGGCACCATCCCATTTGTGCCCTCCAGAAACTCATGGTAGGTTTTCTGGCTTCCAAATGATGGACCCTCTGACAAAATGACTTCTCTAAAGTCATATTTCTTGATGAAGCCCACTGTTCAGACAGTAGTAGCTCTGCAGAGCTCCATCTGCTGCATCACATAGACAGTACAGTATCTAGTGAAAGAAACACTGTGTGCACCAAACCTTTGGTAATAGTTACATGAGACTGAAATCTAAAGTAGATTTAATCTGTAGGGTGTCAAAATAACATGATATCATAGGCAAAAAGGTGAGGGCTCACTCAAATACAAACTATGTTACTGCAAAGGTGACCTGAGCTCTATTTTTATCTAGGGTTTGCATTTGATGCATCTCAGGGAAGTACAAGTGCTTATTTTTTCACTTTTGGTACCAAAACCTGCAATAATTAATTTACGGAGCCACTTGGGGGCAGTGCAACAAATTCTGAACACAACATTGACATATTTTCAGGACATAAAAAAGGCATTTTCACAGAAGTGCTATTTTCTAATTCAGCAGATATGGAGCAACTTTATTCATTTAAAGTCATGTTTCAGGTTCCAAGTCCAAATATTCACTCTCCTGTTCGTAGCTGTAAACACTGTGCCCATTAGTTCCTGAACCATACAGTACATAGACTCACCTGTAATGTCTCGTTTGACTGTAACTGGCTGTGCTGGATTAACTAAATTATCTAATAAACCTGTACAGAAGAGGTGCACTGATGGCAGCTGGAAAGTCTTGTATCAAACGAGAGCGCAGCATTCATTCATTTACGTTCAGCTCTTCAGCCAGTCAGCCAGCTCAGCAGTCAGCCATTCAGTCAGGCATCTACAGCGCTGAGTGAAGCAGAGGGGCACACGGCTGAACACTACATGCCTATCAAGTGAACCTAAAGTCACACTTAGTTCAGAGTACTAATCAAATACAGTGCTAAAGGTTAGTGAGTTCATAAAAGCGTTTTGTAAGCACAGAAAAACCTTCACACTGCAGGGAAGCCTGTGAGGGAAATTCCTCCCTATATCTATTTGAAAACAGACTAACTTAAACAGAGAGTGAGTCTGATGAAATGCTCCTTTATTACTCTTTTTAACATGTAAACATAGAATACAGATTACACCTGACACATATGTTTACATGCAATGTGCATCTGACTCAATACAAGTCATGTCGACCATTATAGACCTGTGAAATCTCTGAGACCTCCTTCTGGCTGGAGTACAACAGAAAGAGACAAACAACTTCCAAAAAAGGCTAATTTGACAAGATTTCCTGAAAGGTCTTAATAGTCTCCGAATAATTCCCATCACACCATTTGAGTTTTGATAGTTTCAAACCGGGTCACATTGATCTTAACCTCAATGTCCCTGCCAAGACGCCTGCCTGAATGTCTGTGTCCATCTAATATTAACATTTGAACCATGTGTCTCTGATGTTTTCATTTGACCAAGTCTAAGAGTCGCCAGAAAACTCCACAGGATGCTGTCATTCACACATTAATCACACTTTGTCCTCACTACTCCCATAAGGCCCTGGGTGTTGGTCCTACCATCAGAAGGGATGTTTTGGTTGCCTCTAAGCCAGTGAACATCCACCTCTGGCTTGCCAGTCACCAGGCATGGCACCATCCCATTTGTGCCCTCCAGAAACTCATGGTAGGTTTTCTGGCTTCCAAATGATGGACCCTCTGACAAAGAAGAAGACTGGGATTAGAAAGATTAGGATGCCCACCTTCTGTGGTGTAAAGCAACAAGGGAGCTGGTTCATTAGACAAGTGCTGATATACTCAACATAACCAATTTTAACCCTTTCACAACTATTGCTCACTACTGTGGACAGCTATTCAAAAGTCAATTTCTTGTTTATGTCTGGCTTTGGATGGTAAAGTTGTGTATCAGTCACTACAGTGGACAGTCTTTGAAAACCCAAGAGCTACAACCAGATGTAAGTGCAGCTAAAAACCTAAACATCTGTATGTCTGGTGATACACCAGCTGTGCCAAGCACCACAGGAATGTATGTCCAGTCCCTCTATAGAGGAAGACTGTTGCACATGGTGATAACAAGTAACATCGTGGGAACAATATGATTCTTAGATTTGTCATATATTGATTTTATACAAGCAGAAAATTACAATTAATCAAGTGTCAGCTAAAGTGGACATCATGCATTACTGGTTATAACTTAGAATACAAATCATGTTGTACTAAAACTTTACAAATGGGTTATAATTTAGTCTATAGTAACATTTTCTCAGTAAATACGTCCATATCTATTAGAATTATGTCATTTGCAGGATGTTTTCAACAAAGACAATATTTTGTCGATTAAGTCGATTGTGTTACTGGCATCTGACCATCATTTTGTATGTCAAAGACATAGAAAAAGAAAGCATCAAGTCCTCACAACTGAGATGCTGGAACCTGCAAAATGTCGCCAGAGAGCTGCTGAATTTTTTTTTTTTACCAGCAAATCGATTAATGGACTAATAGTTGCAGCTCTAGATATAGTTTTTTATTAATTCAATATTAATTAATTTTTGTATTATTTGCAAAACAATAAATACAACAATACAATAGTCAGAGCTAAAACATAGAGAGAAAAAGTATCCTCACGATGTGACACACTGTAGTTTGGGTTGTTTTTCAAAGCCCAGGTTGAATATATGTTGAAATAGGCAAAAGTATTTGTTTTACAGTAAAAAATTCACATTTAATGTTCACAGCTTTCATAAAGTACACTGTTCTATTTATCACACTATTACTGTGTATTAATTACAATGAAAGTTAATCGCATGCTGTCCACCAGAGTGGACATGTCAGAAACTTCATAAAAAATACATGTAAACAAAAATATAAAATTCTAAATATTTTCTTCATGTCCAGTGAAGTATAAAAACACCAACAACATAACTGACTATATAAGTGTGTGTGTGTGTGTGAGAGAGCAGCCTGTTGTTACATACCATAAATATACAGCTGTATGTCAATCTTGTCCTGGTGTCCGCTGTCGAAGTCACACAGACAGCTGTACTTTCCTGCATCATTCATTGTGGCCTTCTTAATGCTCAGTTTAGAGGAGGACTCATCTATCCCTGACACCTTTTCTTCATCATCAATGTCTTCCTCATCCTTCTGCCACGTTATAGTTCCCTCTCCTCCAGCTAGGACAGAAGACAAGAAGGGAGGGAGGAAAGGAGGGAATGAATATAAAAGTGGAGACTTATTTTTCTTGAGAAGAGGTTCAAACTGACATTTTTTATTCACACAGACAAGTGCCATTAGTCATCAAATGAAGAAGTGACTCACCTTTACACAACAATACGATCTCTTCTCCCACCTGCACATCTTGTTTACTGGCAATGATGTTCATCCTTGCATCTATAGGAAGGAGTTGCACATTTTATAAAAACGTTGACCACAATGAGCTTTTAAAGTGAAAACACTGTTATTAATTAATTAAGTAATTAATCCACCTTTCCGCCTGCAGAAAGGTGTCAACTGTGTGTAGGATTGTGTTTTCTAACTGTTTCAACAGGCAGAAAAACTTGTATTTCCCCCGTTCATTCAGGCACTTTAGATTTGAGACAAAAACTGTCAAATATTGGTTATTTCCTGAGTTATTACCTGCTTACACTTAAGAAGCTTTCTTTTGCTCACAGTCTGGATTTTTGATCCATGCAGTGTGTATGAAAACATATCATCACAAGTCTTACCTGTGCCATACGCAAGCAGCAGCAGCAAGGCCAGTTTCAGGAGAGCTGATTGGTTAGTCATGTTCACCATGCAGCAGGTTACCAATCCCATAACCTTTTAAATGTGAACTCTGCAGTTTCTCTGTTGAGTCTGAAAGTCAGGAGGAACACAACTGGACAAAATGCTCAAATGCTGATCTAGTGAAATTTACAAACCTAACTAAAGATCTGCTACACAACAAAAACACGTCAAATATCTTCACCTCAGCATCACACTGACATGCTGACACCTGTTGTTGCCAAACCACCTACAATAAGTATGAGAGGCAGAGGGTCTCTGCAAGAGGTTATATAGGGGCCCAACAACTGAGATGAGAGGAAATGTGAGAGGGGAAGGGGAAAGAGAGAGAGAGAGAGAGAGAGAGAGAGAGAGAGAGAGAGAGAGAGAGAGAGAGAGAGAGAGGACGAGAGAGAGACAGAGAGAGAGAGACAGAGAGAGAGAGAGAAGGCACTAGTCTCCCATCCCTCCTTCAACCCCAACATACTGTTTTTCTGAGAAATGGGAGGTGATGACATGAATGATGTCTGTCCCTCTCTCTGTCCTGTAGAAGTTATCTCACGACTGTGCAGATCTCAGACTCTGTCTTCAGTAAGTGGACGTAGCTAGTTGTTGGTAACATATAGGATAGTCAAGTGGGAGCATTTCTGTCTTCAGAGAATCAATAAATTTAAATTCATTAAATTATTTTTTGTCACAGATTTAAGAAACTCATTGTTCATGAAAACTGCTTTTCTGAGAGACAATAAACCAAGGGCATAGGTTTGCATATGGAGGTCAGAGACATGTCCCCTCCAATATTTTGGGAGGACAGAAATGTCCCTATCACTATTTGAGTAAACTTGTGTGCGTTTTGAGTGAATTCATATCAAGCCTCCAAGAAACTACGCCTCCAAGACAACAGATTTAGGCATGAAAATAATTGCCAATGCTTGAGGTCTGGACTGACACTGATAACTGATCAGTGTCAGCACATTGCTCCACTCTCTCCTCCTCCGTCAAGGCTCAGTTAATTGGAAGAGCTTCCCTGCTTCCCTGCAGTTCCCAAGACTGCCTGAAAATATAGGTGTAGCCCTAATCCCTACACGGTCCAGTCAATTACCAGGTTTACAGCTAGTGTTTTTTTTTTTTTTTTGGCAACAATGCAGGAAGAAACCAACTCAGCAACCGGCACTCGGCCGACCAGTGATGGAAATACGATCAGTCAGCCAGTCAGGGACATTCTAGGTTATAGGGCTGGCCCCCGCTGCTGCAGTCCAGCCAAAAATAAATCAGATTTTCTTGCTTACACTTACCTACATCTCACATGCAGATAGGTTTGGTTTCATTTTCCTAGGTTTCAAAGTATCAGCATCCACATCAGTACCATTGCGATGAATTGAATTCGGTTTGTGTTGAAAGTTAAACTGTTAAAAAATATTCACCAGCAAACTCTCTTTCCAGTGACAGTGTCATATTCTATACCACAAATGGTAAGGAGTTTTCACAGAGACAATTTCCTTAGCACAAAATAGTTTCACAAAAGGTATTCTGCTCTTCATGTGCCCAGCAGGCTAGAGCAAAACCCTTTTCTGCTGATAGCTCATTTTATATTTATTCAAGCCGGGGGAAAATCAGCCATCTTTCATACCTTCAGGTGGTGAGTCTCTGACAATTTGTCACTTGCATTCATCAAAGTCATCACTGCACAATATTTGCATCTGGAATCAGTCAAGTTCACGTCTTGTCTTCAGTCTTTTTTAAGAGCTTAATCTCATCTTTCAAACATGTTACTAAAGATGCGACTAAAATACAAACAAACAAACAAACAAACAAACAAACATGTAGTTGGTGAATACAAAAGACATAAAGCTGTTTTACAATCCATGTTTTATCAAACACAAAGATGTAACAACAACTGTATGTACAACCATGTACAGTGTTCAGTACAATATTACAAGAATCTCAAAACACTTGAATATGTTCAGGTAATTTATGTCAAGCTATCTTCTACACAAAAAAGCTGCACCCGATTTATTTTCACATATTTGATTACTGTAAATAATGATATGACTATAAGTATAAGATAACTTACAACATTAGTCCGCTTTGCTTGGCGTATGTTTTCCTATTATTACAGGTACTTGAAAAAGTTCTCATAATAAAAGTTGCTTTTAATTACAGGTTCCCTAAGTGGGAAGTATTAGTTGCTGACTATGAATTTTCACGCAAAAGTGCGGAACAGTAAAGCTGGGTACAAATATGGCTTTAAATCCAAAGCCTTTCATCATGAATATCTCTCATGTATGGCTAAAAAATAATAAATATCAGTGCATAATAATTACGTTAAGGTTAGTTAAGTTTGGTTCCAACTGAAGTGGCCTTTAAATGGCCTATAATAGTGCTCAATGTCATGATACAGTGTCATTTAATCTAAAAAAAAAAAAAAAAAAAAGATGTCTAATTGTTTACACAACCATTAAAAAGTTACTAACAATAAAGATATTTAAAATGACATCACTAATACAAACACATTTTTGGATGTTAAACAAAGTTGATTTGCACAAGACAGTCATGGTATGGTTAAAGAAAGAGTAAAATAAAATAAGACCTTGTGTCTGTATCAAACATTCGCTAGGTAAACGTTTGTTGTGTCCTTTAGAATATTTTTGAAAATGAAATAGTAACAACAATTTTACCCTGTAAAACACAGACATCAATATCACTCTGTTAAGGAGATTTTGTCTCTTAAGTTTAGCTTGAAGTGATCTACATCAGAGCAGACAGAGATAGAAAATGACCCATTCACCTGCCTGTGGTCTGTGTCAGCACAATTCTGTCTAGAGAGGCTGAACACACACCTGCTGCTATCTCACTCCAAAAGCACAGAGGTTTGAAGAAGACCAGTTTTAACACACTGTGACAAAATCAGTCAGTTTCCTACAGTGTGACAGCACATTTGACCTTTCCCATGGCAGATGTATCCAATGTAGAGATCGCTGAGTGTTCTGAGTCAGCGGTTGTGACCAGGTGTTTAATAGTTTCTCTTGTTGTCTACGCAGTTCACTGGCACATGTTTTACTCTCATGTTTCTCGTTTCACCAGTTTCTGGCCTCACGCGTTGGCAATGGGCAGCTCTCTGTCTGGTTGTGTTTTCCTGTGGGCAAAGAAATGACTTATTAGTGAAATATTGGGATAAAACTAATTCTCAAAACTTAAAACTCAAAGAACCTCAATTCAAAGTGGAGTTTAAAAACGACTTTCTGCTATATATTTGCTCTTCACGTGACTCTCACTTAGGATAAATGCAATATGTTTTTAATGTTCCTCAGCTCAAACACTGATGTTGACATAGTCAGACTGTCATACTAACACATGTAGCAGCTGTTCATGGTGATAGTTTGTTTGTAGGAGTCCATGAAAGTCTTTGACAACAAACTACAGCCAGAGAGACTGTGGCTGCATGTTCTGGTTGGATGAGGCAGACATATTTTTCAGCAACATAAAGAGGTGTCAGGATCGTAAAACAAGCCTATAGCCTGGTTTATCAAATAAATGGCTATAGTGAACTAGAAAAATACTCATAATGTGAAGACAAAACCAAATCAAATGTAAAACTAATAAAACTGCAACTAATGTACTGTACAATGCACTGTACATATTTTATTTTGGGGTTGTATGTATGTTGAGAAAATGCACTTTCAATTTAGGTTTTGGTATGTAATTTCAGTTAGGCTCTTTTCTGTTTCTTTGTGCATTTTATGTAATTTAAGTTATGTAACTAGTTATCTTTTAGGCACCTATTATTTATGAGGATGTACAATTTGGTTTCTGCTCATTCCTGTGGCTGAATGTGGAGAGACCTGACTTGGATAAAAGAGTAAAAGGAAGCAGCTTACAGCAGGTAATTACATGAAGGTGTTAAACTTGTAATCCTCAATTTTCACATATCATTCAATTCTATATATCCATGTAGGTTTTTGTGAACTGTGCATACAACATACTCATGTTTGGTGAGGGGGGCTTTGTCGCAGGTGACCTCTTTGAGCTGCCCCCCCTCCGTGGTGACTGCCTTTTGCATACTGCCTCTAGGAGTGGACAGACCCTTCAGCTTCACATCTCTGCAGCCAGGACACACAACGAGGTTTGAATTACAATGATGAAAATCTGCTGACATATTCAATGTTTTGTGCACATCGACACATTTCCTCAAAGGCTTTTCCGAAAGGTTTCTCTTCACCGTCACACCAGCTTACCCATTAGTGGCTCCTGCTCCTTCTTCAAGCAGTTTGAGGCCTGGAACTTTCTGTCCAAACAGTTTCACACCGATGGACATGAGAAGACCACAGCGATTTCTGTAGCAGCAGGTGGCATCTACCACCAGGAACACCAACAGGAAGATGACCATGACAATGCCAACCACGCTGCCTTTGGTCATAGTGCGGCTGCTCACTTTGAGAAGAGATGACAAAGTCTAGATGACAAAACTGAACGTATGGCAAACACCTTCATTGTGGCAAGCAACACACTGTTGATGTATAATTAATCTCAGATCTATTTGTATCATCTCTCTCAGTTGATTATGGTAAACTAGAAGCTAAGACACATTTTCTGGCTGGTACGCTAAAGTGTGTGGTGGTGGAAGTAGCAGGCCACATACCAGGTTGTTCTGCGATGGTGAAGTTTAACGTTGCAGGGATAGAGGAACCATTAGCATTGACTGCTATGACTTCCAGTTGATAGTCTGACCCAAAAGACAGGTCTTGAAGGGAGACAGCGTCTGAATCAGACAACAGCTTCATCTCTTTCCACTCAGCCCCTTCTGTATCCTGGTTAAAGAGAGCAGAGGAGAGGGAGGATCAAAGTCAGGGGAAAAAAAGGACCAAAGAAGAGGAAGAGAGTGAGAGAGCCTCGTACCTGTCTGTATCGCACGTTGAAGTGCAGCAGAGGCATCCCACTGTCATCGATCTGTTTAAGAGGGACAGAGAAGGAGTTGCCCTCGACTTTTATCTCATCAGACGACAGCACTGGACTGTCGGGTTCACCTACAGGCAGGAAGCAGAGAGGGAGGAAAGAACTGATGTCCACAGATTTGCACAGTCATGAATATTAATTAACACCTTATCATTCGATGTAGTTAAACTGCTTTATCTGGGCTACATACAGCTTGACTGAGCATGTGACTTTATTATTTTATAATGTGCATTACCTCCTGATTGACAGTAGATTACATGGTGTCGTCAACATCATCAGTGAACATCAGGCAGCAGAAGATGATGTCATGGGAATGTTATGATGATGTTTGTATGAGAGATGAATAAGAAAAATTAGTGATAGCAGATATATAGATACAGACAGGAAGATATACACCACATGCAGCATACGCATGTGTACTCTACATTGTGCATCAATAAATGCACATCATTATACATTCATGCAAATGTATAAATGTACAAATTCCTTCACACACACACACTGAATATGTAGTTAATGCGCCACACATATTGCATGAGATGTGGATTTGGTGTGTGCTGTCACTGTCTGATGTAATGTGTAGCACTTACGAATTCCCTCGGTACGAATTTTGTTTGTGTGAGAGAACTGTCCCACTCCTACTGCATTCAAGGCAGCCAAACGCACCTCGTACAATGTGTACGGCTTGAGGGCGGTGATAGCAAGAGGATCTGTAAAAGCACGCGCGCACACACACACACACACACACACACACACAAAAAGGCACATCATTTTTGTACAAACACATTATTACATTTGTACTTGTATATATAAAGGGAGAATACAGTTTAAGCTATAAGCAGTATAAGGTGTAATGATTCACCAACTGATTTGTTTCTTCATGGAGAATCATGACACACAACTGCAAAGCCTCTATGTGGAGCAGATGATCTACCTGAAGCTGGTACTGTGACCTCCTTCCACTGTTCTGCCTCACTTTGCCTCCACTGCAGGACAAAACTTGTGATTTCCGTTCCTCCGTTCATGGGTAAAGTTTTGAGGGAAAAGAGGACTGAGGTCGGTCCAGGTGAGACTGACAGGTAGAAAGGAGGACCGGGATTGGCTGTGTGTCAGGAAGCAGAGCGGAGGATTGAAGAAGGGAAAACAAATGTTAGAAAATGGCATAGAAACATGTCTGTGTGAAACATGGTTACAGAAATACAAAGCTGGACATAAACTCTTACTGTGGATGGCCACATCTCTGGATGCATTTCTAGAGGTGCTAACAGCCATGCAGGAATACAGTCCGCCATCAGAGGGCATTATCTCATTTATCAACAACACACCATCCACCGCACGCACGTGACCAGGAGTAGAGTCCTGACAGAGGCAGAAGAAAAAACTGAAAATCACACATTAAAAAATACAGCTCATACAGATTATCATTGCAAACCCACATCCTGGCCACATGTTGCCATCATCATCATCATCATCATCATCATCATCATCATCATCATCATCATCATCATCATCATCATAAATGTAATGAGCTTTGTTGTAAATGTAAACACTCAGTGTTGTGTTGGAGTTAACTGGAGTGTTCTTTGTTGAGCCATAGATAAAAGCCATAATCATATTACATATATCATTGTTTCAGTTTTGCTGCCTGAAGGTGAATGTGTGCAGTGGAGTTTATGAGTGTACATGTCCATACAGTCTCACCAGAGTTTGTCCATTGTGCTTGTTGAACCAGTGCAGCTCAGGCAGAGGATGGCCAGAGACGTTACAGGACACAGATACAGGCTGACCCACTGACACACTCAGCTGCTCTGCTGACACAAACACTTCTGGGGCCTCTGAAATCAAACATTTCAGTTATAATGACAGTATTCAACTGACCAAAGTTCAGACACATCACTATAGTACAACAGGATAAAGTAAAAAGTCAAAGTGCTACAGAACTGAACCAACCAAAGACATGAAGTGTGATGGTTGCACTGTCCTCAGCTATCTTGTTGGTGGCGGTGCAGACGTACTCCCCATAGTCGCCTCTGGCAACAGAGTGTATAGTCAACTGGCTGCGGTCTGAGTTAAACTGATGGCGTGAAGGGTCAAATGTCACCGGCCTGTGAGCAGAGAGTGAAGAGCAAAATACACATTGAATGATGTTGTAGTGATTCATTATTGTAAATATGAGACAGATATTTACAGCCACAACTTTATGAAGCGGGATAAGAGGACGAAAGAGGCCAGAGGAGGAAGAAGGGTGATGCCCCAGAACATTTACAAAGCTGATAAGGGAATTTCTTGGCTTAGAGAGAGAACAGGTTCAGTTCAGCTACAATGCTCATATTATAAACACAATGCATAAAATCTCTCTCAAGGTCTTACATGGTCCAGGTGATATTGGGTTTCGGTAGACCGTCCACCAAACAAAGCAAGGAAACATTGTTCTCTGATCCAGCCATCACTTTTTTCACCTCTTCTCTCAGACGCACTTTAGGAGGAGCTGCAGGGGGGCGGCACCAGTGATGTGAAAGTAAAGTAAAAGATAACATCAGTGGTGGTAAATTAAAACCTTACACTTTGACTAATAAAACTTTAATATGTAAATATGAGGAAAAACACAACTAACAAAAGAGGGACTAAATCCTACCTAGGCGGTATACTATCAGCAATCTCTATGTCACAAAACACAAATAATTGGTCAACACAATCTTGATCTGAAAAAGCTACTCACCATTGACGACAACAGAGACAGGGAGCTTCTGATTGATGGTCCTTCCTCTGATGTAGGCCTGACACTCATATAGCCCAGCATCCTCTCTCCTCACTTTTTCAATACGGAGTGTGTTATCAGTCAGCTGACGCACACGTTCTCCCTCTGAAGTGAGAGATAGTCGCAAAAGCAAGTGCACAGACAGGGAGCAAAAGACAAACACAAAAAGATTTATTTCTCTAAAGTCATATTTCTTGATGAAGCCCACTGTTCAGACAGTAGTAGCTCTGCAGAGCTCCATCTGCTGCATCACATAGACAGTACAGTATCTAGTGAAAGAAACACTGTGTGCACCTTCATTACTCTTTTTAACATGTAAACATAGAATACAGATTACACCTGACACATATGTTTACATGCAATGTGCATCTGACTCAATACAAGTCATGTCGACCATTATAGACCTGTGAAATCTCTGAGACCTCCTTCTGGCTGGAGTACAACAGAAAGAGACAAACAACTTCCAAAAAAGGCTAATTTGACAAGATTTCCTGAAAGGTCTTAATAGTCTCCGAATAATTCCCATCACACCATTTGAGTTTTGATAGTTTCAAACCGGGTCACATTGATCTTAACCTCAATGTCCCTGCCAAGACGCCTGCCTGAATGTCTGTGTCCATCTAATATTAACATTTGAACCATGTGTCTCTGATGTTTTCATTTGACCAAGTCTAAGAGTCGCCAGAAAACTCCACAGGATGCTGTCATTCACACATTAATCACACTTTGTCCTCACTACTCCCATAAGGCCCTGGGTGTTGGTCCTACCATCAGAAGGGATGTTTTGGTTGCCTCTAAGCCAGTGAACATCCACCTCTGGCTTGCCAGTCACCAGGCATGGCACCATCCCATTTGTGCCCTCCAGAAACTCATGGTAGGTTTTCTGGCTTCCAAATGATGGACCCTCTGACAAAGAAGAAGACTGGGATTAGAAAGATTAGGATGCCCACCTTCTGTGGTGTAAAGCAACAAGGGAGCTGGTTCATTAGACAAGTGCTGATATACTCAACATAACCAATTTTAACCCTTTCACAACTATTGCTCACTACTGTGGACAGCTATTCAAAAGTCAATTTCTTGTTTATGTCTGGCTTTGGATGGTAAAGTTGTGTATCAGTCACTACAGTGGACAGTCTTTGAAAACCCAAGAGCTACAACCAGATGTAAGTGCAGCTAAAAACCTAAACATCTGTATGTCTGGTGATACACCAGCTGTGCCAAGCACCACAGGAATGTATGTCCAGTCCCTCTATAGAGGAAGACTGTTGCACATGGTGATAACAAGTAACATCGTGGGAACAATATGATTCTTAGATTTGTCATATATTGATTTTATACAAGCAGAAAATTACAATTAATCAAGTGTCAGCTAAAGTGGACATCATGCATTACTGGTTATAACTTAGAATACAAATCATGTTGTACTAAAACTTTACAAATGGGTTATAATTTAGTCTATAGTAACATTTTCTCAGTAAATACGTCCATATCTATTAGAATTATGTCATTTGCAGGATGTTTTCAACAAAGACAATATTTTGTCGATTAAGTCGATTGTGTTACTGGCATCTGACCATCATTTTGTATGTCAAAGACATAGAAAAAGAAAGCATCAAGTCCTCACAACTGAGATGCTGGAACCTGCAAAATGTCGCCAGAGAGCTGCTGAATTTTTTTTTTTTACCAGCAAATCGATTAATGGACTAATAGTTGCAGCTCTAGATATAGTTTTTTATTAATTCAATATTAATTAATTTTTGTATTATTTGCAAAACAATAAATACAACAATACAATAGTCAGAGCTAAAACATAGAGAGAAAAAGTATCCTCACGATGTGACACACTGTAGTTTGGGTTGTTTTTCAAAGCCCAGGTTGAATATATGTTGAAATAGGCAAAAGTATTTGTTTTACAGTAAAAAATTCACATTTAATGTTCACAGCTTTCATAAAGTACACTGTTCTATTTATCACACTATTACTGTGTATTAATTACAATGAAAGTTAATCGCATGCTGTCCACCAGAGTGGACATGTCAGAAACTTCATAAAAAATACATGTAAACAAAAATATAAAAATTCTAAAATATTTTCTTCATGTCCAGTGAAGTATAAAAACACCAACAACATAACTGACTATATAAGTGTGTGTGTGTGTGTGAGAGAGCAGCCTGTTGTTACATACCATAAATATACAGCTGTATGTCAATCTTGTCCTGGTGTCCGCTGTCGAAGTCACACAGACAGCTGTACTTTCCTGCATCATTCATTGTGGCCTTCTTAATGCTCAGTTTAGAGGAGGACTCATCTATCCCTGACACCTTTTCTTCATCATCAATGTCTTCCTCATCCTTCTGCCACGTTATAGTTCCCTCTCCTCCAGCTAGGACAGAAGACAAGAAGGGAGGGAGGAAAGGAGGGAATGAATATAAAAGTGGAGACTTATTTTTCTTGAGAAGAGGTTCAAACTGACATTTTTTATTCACACAGACAAGTGCCATTAGTCATCAAATGAAGAAGTGACTCACCTTTACACAACAATACGATCTCTTCTCCCACCTGCACATCTTGTTTACTGGCAATGATGTTCATCCTTGCATCTATAGGAAGGAGTTGCACATTTTATAAAAACGTTGACCACAATGAGCTTTTAAAGTGAAAACACTGTTATTAATTAATTAAGTAATTAATCCACCTTTCCGCCTGCAGAAAGGTGTCAACTGTGTGTAGGATTGTGTTTTCTAACTGTTTCAACAGGCAGAAAAACTTGTATTTCCCCCGTTCATTCAGGCACTTTAGATTTGAGACAAAAACTGTCAAATATTGGTTATTTCCTGAGTTATTACCTGCTTACACTTAAGAAGCTTTCTTTTGCTCACAGTCTGGATTTTTGATCCATGCAGTGTGTATGAAAACATATCATCACAAGTCTTACCTGTGCCATACGCAAGCAGCAGCAGCAAGGCCAGTTTCAGGAGAGCTGATTGGTTAGTCATGTTCACCATGCAGCAGGTTACCAATCCCATAACCTTTTAAATGTGAACTCTGCAGTTTCTCTGTTGAGTCTGAAAGTCAGGAGGAACACAACTGGACAAAATGCTCAAATGCTGATCTAGTGAAATTTACAAACCTAACTAAAGATCTGCTACACAACAAAAACACGTCAAATATCTTCACCTCAGCATCACACTGACATGCTGACACCTGTTGTTGCCAAACCACCTACAATAAGTATGAGAGGCAGAGGGTCTCTGCAAGAGGTTATATAGGGGCCCAACAACTGAGATGAGAGGAAATGTGAGAGGGGAAGGGGAAAGAGAGAGAGAGAGAGAGAGAGAGAGAGAGAGAGAGAGAGAGAGAGAGAGAGAGAGACAGAGAGAGGGAGGGAGAGAGAGAGAGAGAGATAGAGAGACAGAGACAGAGAGAGAGGGAGAGAGAGAGAGAGAGAGAGAGAGAGAGAGAGAGAGAGAGAAAGCACTAGTCTCTCATCCCTCCTTCAACCCCAACAGGGTTACTGTTACTGTTCTGAGAAATGGGAGGTGATGACATGAATGACGTCTTTCCCTCTCTCCGTCCTGTTGAATATCTGTTACCTCACAACTGTGTCTACCTGTCCTATCTGTCTGTATTTTTTTACTTCTTTTGTTTTCTTTCTTCTCCTCTCTCTCTCTCTCACTCTCTCTCTCTCCCTCCAGGCTACCGGATGAAAGCAGGGGGGGCAGCTCCCCACAGGGGAAGAAAAGATGGAGAAAGATATTTCTATCATTCCATCGTTTTTTCCTCTCCCATTTAAAAAGGGTCACATTCTTCTCAAGCACACGGACCAAACTGCACATACAGTGCCAAATTCACATCTGCTGAAAACATACATCCTGTAGGAGGCTGAAATCAACAAACCTCTCTGACAAAGAATCTTTTCTTAACTTTGAGAAACAGCTCATATTCAGTGATCACAAAAGAAAGAGTTCAAAAACAAGTTTTTGTATAAGTAGCCAAAGTCTAGTCAGTGATAGTAGTAAGTGGTATGTAGAAATATTCCCAGGGGGTTGAATTGGCATGGAAGGGTACATAAAATGTAATAATTTACAATTTGACTTGTAAAAATAATAAAAGCATGTGTGTTGCTAATAATAGTAATAGTTTCACTGTTCCATTTAAATGTCCTGGTATTGTACATGCTGGCTCACTGTCATGACACTGTGATTATGTGATTAGTAACACCTGTGCTCTACCACCATGACAGTCAAATTGATTGCTTTGAAATGTAGGGCTACAGTGCCTAAATGAACCCTAACTCTAATCCTGCCTAAATGAAACGCAGCCATCTTTAACTTTAGTACTTACACCTGTGTTTGACAAGATGCCACTGTTAGACATACAAAGTTTGTCTAATCAGTCGTCTCTCAGCAAATCTGGCTGGCTTCAGGGCTTTGACAATGAACATCCTAAACCTGGTGAGCTCTTCATGGTCAGTATCAAAGTTACACACTCATGCACATGTGCGCGCGTGTACACACACACACACACACACACACACATACACACACACACAGAATGCACAGTATCAGTCAATATCACTGACAGATTGAATCGGTCAAAATTTTCATCAAATTCTCTGCCTGAAAGACCTGAAAAAATGTAAAATAAAATTGTTTCATGATAATGTAAACATTATTAAAACAGACCTACTGACCTACACATCTTCCATTTAATGTTTTTGGTAGACGTGCTCTTCTACAATTTCACAAATTACAGAGTATTCAGTGAAAAGAGGAGGCAGAAAGGCAATAGGCATTTCACAGAAGAAAAAAGGCACAGGTGTTACCAATGACATTAATGATGGTTCTGTTTTATTAAGTGTCCCAGGAAGTCAGGACAGTGAGCCAGCATGCACAATGCCAGGACCTAGGAACTGAAGCAGCTAAATGGGATTCACCTGTCACTCATTTCATTATTTACAGCTGTGATTTTTCTACTGTGACATGTCGAATGTCTGCTGTGAAAAAGACCTATGAAATATTTATATAGGACGTTCATCACAGACTGTGATAAAAGTGTCAACGTAATGACCCTCTGTGACTGAAACACCCAAACAAACACACACGCACGCACACACATACAGTTTACGTCACTGCCCTTTCATCTATGTGGTGTTAGTGCCCGCCGCCAGTCAAGTTTCATTCCTCTGGGTCCCATAACTTCCATTGGCCAACAGCCAGCCTGCCCCTCCCACCTTCCCCTTGATAGCCTATCATGTATCCACGCAGTCATCCAGTCAGCCAATCAAAGGGTAGAGAGTCCAAAGGGGCCACCTATCAGGTTGATTATCAGGAGGTGCTATTATGGCTCATTAGAACGGAGTGTGCTCATAATGAGGGCTGTTAACAAGGGCCATTAACGAGGGTGGGCACGCACTGACAGCTGCTTATATCACATTTGTCAGAGCTCATCGTTTTTCTCTTGTTCACTGTCCTAACTGTTAAAAACTCTTGTTTCCATTGATGCTGCTGTCTACATTGGGTCACTGCAGGACCAAGACTCAGCAACAACAAACAGCAAAGATACTAAAGCATCTTTATGTAGAGACCACGGTTTTTGAGGCTTATGGCTTTCACAGATGCTATTATACTGTATGTTGAGGGCATGTTGCATTGTGTGCTAATGTCTGTCCTGCTCCGTATTATTCTTTATAGCAAGCAATCTTTTTCAAACACTGAAGCAAGCTGTTAAATGAAACCTGTTTGTCAGAGATAGAGCTCCATATATGACAGACCTTGTTCTTAGACCTTGTTTATGCCAGTCATACAGTGGAAGCAGCTTGTTAGCATCAGCTGCAGTTTGTCATCAGAGTCTAAACTGGATCTGTTCTTAAGCATTAAGCACTTAAGAATTAAATAAAATATATATATATATATAAATATATGACTATACTTAAACCATGTGACAGTGACTTATGGACAATGCAGATACATTGATTAAATTGGAAGTTGATATATAGATATGAATATGAAAAATTAGGGTTAGTGAAACTTAATATGAAAGGATTCAAATACACACACTGGCATTTTTAGTCCGCTATCCATTTTCACTTGTCACACTGTGGGGGTTTCTTAGCATTACAACATAATGCAACACAGAGTTTAATAGGTTAATAACATTAGCTAATAACAGCATTTGTAAATAGTTTATTCCCTCAAGAAAACGCTCTGGGATAAGCTACACACACACACACACATAACACACAAATATATACACATGACATTGAACATTCATTGTTCCTCTCTTTGTCTTTGCGACCAATAAATAAACAAAATACTGAGAACAATTGGCTGTTCTGTTGGTGCCAAAACCTCCACATTGTTCTTATAATAGTAATCACACACTTTGCCTCCCTCACACACATACACACATACACAAATATACCTGCATACCTACATGCAGGCACAATCCATTTTCGCAATTTTACCATAATAGTATTGGATTAAAGAAATAAGAAATAAATAAGTTACTTAGTTAAACAGTAATGTCATGTCTGTTATTGAACAGCGGTGTGACTGCTCAGTACATCGAAACAAGTGAAAATGTTAACACACTAGCTTACATTTGAAGCCCCCTGTAAGTCTCCCAGTCTCAGGAAGATAGCAGTGCTCAAGGAGTCAGTGAGTGTTTGCTTGTGGACAACACACGTGTATTGTCTGTGCACTTGTGTGCCTGTTAACCATTCTATCTGCAAATACACAGTACACAAAGTACAACATCTGTAGTAAAACTATAAACCATTTACATGATATATGCGTGTGTGTGTGTGTGTGTGTGTGTGTGTGTGTGTGTGTGTGTGTGCCTATTATACAGACACAAACACATCCATGTGCAGAACACATGTTCTGACAGAAACAATACAATGACAGCTGAAAACATGAGGACGAGACAGGCAGGAAGGAGAGAGAGACAGAGACAGATTCTCGTGACTGGAGAAGACACACCCTCACTCTCCCATTTGTGCGAACAAAAGAGACCTGTGTGTGTGTGTGTGTGTGTGTGTGTGTGTGTGTGTGTGTATGTGTGTGCATACATCCTCAAGTATCTTTACTATACAGATAAGCTTGGTTCATTGGTTTATGTAACTAGAACCACACTAAACAGTACTGTCTAAACAATTTGACGAGGCAGGCTGAAAGAACAGAAAAAAATTACACTTATACTTAACATTACATTGTTTTCCTGTTTCATTTTCAACAAGAGAGATGGTGTGTTTGAGAGTCAAGACAGCTGCCATATTTCACAATGAGCTGAAAAAACATTGTAGGCAATTGTGACATAAATCACCAAATCCAATCTGGCATGATTTACATGCAAAAGACGATACTTTGAAACATTTCGAAACATTGAGACAATCAAGATCATATCAACAATTCTGATGTAAAGAAATGAGACAGATAATAACAATGAGAATAATAATCTGGGATATTCTTTGACTGAACAGACTCACATTGTTCCTTTAAGTTTGACAGAACTCTGGACTCTGGGACACCTGGGCAGACTACATGGATGGACCCAGATTCATAGTCTTTCTCTGAGGGTTCCTCATAGCAGATAATATGAACCTGTTAACAGAGATTAAACTTCACTTGTGCTAACTCAGAAACCGTCTTTCTCAGTTATTGCAATCTTGCTGGAGCTTCCATGTCGGTGCCAATTTATAACAATTTTCTGTGAATAAAATTCTCACTGGTGACAGGATGATAGATATTAAGTTTAGGATAAAAACTGAAATACTAATAGAAAATAACTCAAACTTAGGAGCAATCATCTCATTGTCTTCAACGCACCACTCTGTAGTGTTACGGTAACATCAGGATGCAGGAAGTACTTAGTGATTTGTGTGCATGTGTCTGTGTTTGTGTGTAATGCCCACTGCATGTCCGCCACCCAGCTGAAACAATGACTTAACCAAAGAGCAATGCCACCTCACTGAGTGAATGTATGTTAGTGTGTGTGTGTGTGTGTGTGTGTGTGTGTGTGTGTGTGTGTGTGTGTGTGTGTGTGTGTGTGTGTGTGTGCGTGTGCGTGTGCGTGCGTGCATTGCAGAGAATGTTATTCTTGAGTATGATTTCTTCACAAGCTATCTGAAATTAGCTATAAAAAGTTTTAATGTCATATACAATTTTGAATGCTGTGAAAACGTAAATAAAAGATTTTATGACTCATTAAATGTGAGCAATGTGGGAAGTGGGAAAGATGATTTTTGGAAAGTCTCTTGTTGACATGACAGTGCAACAGATTC